ACGGAGACATTAAATACCTCTGTAACATCATTAAACTCCTACCAAACTATGTAATATATCCCAAAAAATAGTAATCTTCATGCTTAATTAAGCAAAATGGCACGTCTTTGGGTACGGTGCTTAATTAAGCAAGGGGGTACGTCTTTGCTTGGAGCAGTCCGAATGACAAAACATTGATTTTCTTTTCGAAACAGCATTAAAAGCGTGTCGTTCGCCTACACAGCATCACAGAATTTTTTTAAAAAAAAATATATTACGGACCGCACAACACGGGAACATCTTCCCCTTATATGTGACGTCATCCACCAGCATAGCTCGACTAGACGCAGAGTACGTGATTACATACTGCCTCAGGCTTACGAAACTCTATTAATTAACTGATACTGAGTGTAGAGGTTAAACACTTGAATGCAGTTTTAACTACACTGCTCCAAGCTACAATGTTTGGCTCCATAATATCAGTGCTAGATTTCATATCGGTACACTATCGATTCAAAAACAAATATTTACATTACACGAGGGGTAACGTGTTTGAATAGTCGAAACATGTAGCATTGATTATAGAAACGTAATGAAACAAATACTGTGTTTATTGTTTAATCTAGTCTGTCAATATGCTAGACATCTCGCTTACAGTAGCCTGTTTCGTACACCTACAGAAATATACCACAGAATAAGACCTTAAGTAGCAAACGGATGAGAGATTTGCGTTTCTACCAAGTAAATAAGCCCCCCTATCCGCGTTTTAAAAAAGGCACTGCCTTTTACAGAACGCGGGACGAGAAAGTGAGGGACATACTAATACGTGGTTGGGTCACATGAGATGGGACGCGTGTTGGATTAGAAAAGAAGAAAATAGTAGATTTTTTTAATGACTATCCAACACAAGAGGGAGTTACGTAAAATGTAGACTCGCACATCTCATCTTTGTCCTTTCAATTCCCTTGCAGATAACAGGATTACCAACCTACCGAGAAACTGGGCTGGCGTTTGGAACGCGGGCTGTAACACGATTACTGTACTGTCGCTACTGAGCAGAGAACTTGTTTGGGACCACAAAACAGTGCTACAAATCTACAGCTACCAACCCTGCCCATAAAAAGCAACACGGCACAGGATAAACAATTTTATGGGGTTTTCTCGTTTCTTAATTGAAACGAGAAAATTACGTGACATTTAAAAATTTACATTTTATTTAATTTTTACTCGTTATAACGAACTTTGCACGATTGACTGCTCCTGAGATTTTAGATATTATATTTTCTGTGGCGATTTTTAATGGCTATTCTGACGTAATCTTCAAGACTTCGACTCACAGTCGCAGACCTGACATATGTGAACTCCACATCCAAGAACTGAGCCAATACAGAGCCATTAATCTCTTACTTACTGTTGTAATGAACGACAAATGCATTGTAATGTCAGTACTAATTTAAAATACTTTGTTTTCTACTGGGAATAAGCTCCAACAAGTGTGAAAATTCAAAAGGGCAAAGGTAAAATCAAACACGCGAAATGTTATTACACTTCATGTCGAAGATTTAGCAAATCACTAATATCCGTATGCCTGAAGATGGAGGCGGTATTTTCCTACAAAACGCTGATATCAGTTTAAAAGTCCACAACTTATAAGACCAACAACGACAATTTCACCGCCAAATGACCGCCATTTCATTGAAACTTCCAAAGTGTATCAGATCTTTTAAATAGATAAATCTCATTATGATCTTTTGTTCATTTAACGAAGCCGTGCCAACTACATTAGTTATACATTCCACAGAATATAAATGAGTTGCGAACGATGGGGTAAGATCTATTTAAGTGTAGCCCTCCCCCCTTAAAAAAAAATCTGGAGCGATTGAGAACAACTTAAAACTGACGGAAAAGGTGTAATCCCCGCCAGAATATACTGTCCACACGCGACAAAAATATATAAAAAAAAAGCGAGGAGCGAAAGACGCAAAATTCTGCAGTTCTTTCTAAATACGAAACCGTTTGTTGGTAGTATTTTTCAGATGCGTGTGAGAGGCGACTGAACTGAGATTCGATCACGTTATTTCATTAGCTTCTGGTGCTAGCGGCTCTAATATGCTGTCTAATCTCATTCTCCGAAGAGCAGAATAAATACTGTAACCGTAAATCAGAAAAATCAGGCCGGAGAAATTGGGAAAAAAAAAAAAAAAAAATCAAGACTCCTCCATTAAAATCTCAGGAAAAAATGTAAAAAAAAAGCCTCAACCATCAATTCCATTAATTTCAATGAATAAATCGGCATTAAAATGTTCCATTCCTATCACTCCAAACCGCAATGGTTGAAAAGACGTCGTTATTGGCGGAAGAACTGCCCCCAAACCGAAGTTTGTAGATTCTCCAGGTTCAGGGTCACACAGCGTCATGTACCGGGATAACCAAGTTCAAGGGAAGCCTCGCTAGAGGTCGATATCGCTGCCAGGGGTCGTTCCTCCCGTCCAAATACAGCAGCAGAGGCGACACCGGGCAAGCGGACGATTCCACGAACCCGGCTGCCTACACACAAGGCGAAAACATCCCTCACAATCGACTGATCCAACAGGAGTTTAGTCCCAAAGTGCTGAATGTTCAGGAAAAAGTGATGCTGGGCTACACAATACTCCCTAAACTGACGTCACACAAATAAATGTATCGAAATCAGGCCTGGATCAGGGCACAACAGTCAATTAGAATCATATTATAAACAAACAAAAGTCTACAAGATCAGTCCAAACTAAATCAATTCCGGATACTTCAGTGACTTCGATATTAATTTATTACTGATACAAAAACAGCCCGTCAGTAATAGAGTGAAGGAAATTAATATTATTTTTTATGTTTCAGAGCATTAATTTTAATTTTTATACGCTGATTTTGCAACGGGATTATCATTCGACCAATGACTCCCACCAAATGTCTGAACAGGTAAAATAACCTCCAAAAAGAGACGGCCGAGACCCACATTGGGTTGTAGAGCCAGAGACGAGATGCGGGAAAAAATCGTACTAAAACAAAAGACTGTTCACTCATCCATGTACTTCTAAACAACGCAACAAAATATGTTTACATGTTAACGCTCCGAAGCTTTCATAATTAAGCATACGTAATGTTTTCAATTTTTAACTGCTGCTTTGTTACATGCACACAATAGGCCTCCGTTAACAGCACCAACATGGCAACGGTTATAACAACACATGCATTCATAAATATTATCACATACGGCCAAAAATTACGAACAGCCAACCAAACAAACAAACCTGTTCAGGTTAGTTTCTAAAGAATTACTGATTCATGGAGTAAGTTGGCAATAAAATCAATGATTATGACAAATAGGCGTATGACGTCACGAATCCCATGTTGGCAAGACGTGACAATTATGGCGTCACCACTGATAATGAACTGAGATTACAAAGGGCATAATAGTCGTACACAGTGAAACTGGACTCTCGGTACATTTCATCAAGTATGTCTGTGATATAATGATCCATTGTCTGATCCATTTTTAGATAAAAAAAAACCCTGAGCTCTACAATGAAAAGCTAGAATTATGACGCATCATGACGTACATATGTACGATGCTGAGATGGAGGGATGGTTCATGAAATCTAATCACAGAATGGTTCGAATTATCCACAGCTTCATGACCTAGCTTGTCACTCATTATACAGATCCTTTGTCCTGCCAGAATCAAGGGGGCCATGTACAGTATCAGGGTTCTGTTATGTATGAATCACACACCCTATGGAATCGATCGCAGTTCACCAGAACACAAAACAGCTGTGGGGACAGCATGTTGGGGTGAGAAACGATGAAGTGAATCCACAGATGAGTAATATGGTAAATGGGATATGAAACTGAAATTCCACCTCCAAAAAATTGGAGATGAGAGGTTAAAGTGCAGAAACAGATGTAAAAAAAATATGAGGCTGAAAAAGTAGAAATACGCACTACGTGGACTTCTGGGTAGGTACAAATGTTATTCAGCTTGCAGGTTAGCACAGCATGCCGGATTCATGTACAGATAAAGATTGAACTGGAACTATTACTGCTTGCAATTTTAAATACGTTACTTACGTAAAGATTTTACTGCATTAAATGTGTCAGACATAACCTCAAATATTCACACCACTGTAATATTTCCAGACGTCAACTTAGAAACAATATTTCAGACAGAATTTTTTTAGGTATGTCTGTGATCTATTTTAAACTCTAAACGTAAAATGCTTTGATCCAATAATTACTATATCACCATTAAATAGAAAACTGTCACGTCGTTTTATTTTCTACGAAAATGTTACCTTAATTTTTTTTTCATATTCTTCAAAGATCCGTACTCATACAAACCTCAGAATGTTCACACATCTGTCACGTTAATGCAGATCACAGGAAATTGAGGTTATGAATTGTCAGTGGCCTCCAAAGACATAGCATTTCAATTAAGCTCTGTCTATTGGTTCTAGGGTTGAAAAATGCGGACACGCAGATGGACAGACATAAACATCAGCCACATATCTGTTCATTTATCCACATAATGCAAATATGAGCCGGCGTAGCTCAGTAAGTTTAGTGACTGGCTACGGGCTGGACGACCGGGGTTCGATCCCTGACGGGGGCAAAGGATTTTTTCCTGTAGCCTCTGCATCCAGACCGGCTCTGGGGCCCACCCAGCTTCCTCTACAATGGGTACCGGGGTCCTTTCCCGGGGGTAAAGCCAGCCGGGGCGTGATGCAAGAGCCAGTTACACTTCAGATGTTAACTTTGCCACTGCATTAAGGCATATAAAATGTGGTTTTCCAAAGAGGTAAATCAGCGACTTACAGAGAAAAGTTATTGGAAGGAAGCGAGAGGTAGATGCACAAGAACGAAGGCATCCACCCACACTCCCAAAGCACCCCAGAATTTTTTTTATTTCAAACTCTGATTAGCAATGTTTTCTCAATTGCACAATTTACACACACACAAAATGTATCAGAAATTTATGCTGTACTCACCAGCAGGGCAGAATCTTGCTTCTGGTCCATCAAACAGAGCCAGATTTCTTTTCACAGGCACTGCATCATCCTTGAGTGTCAGATGAGGAGGTTGGTCACCCTCGTGGTTAGTCCCTGTCAGAGCCACAGAGTTAAGGAGGTCAAAGCTGATCACGCCGTCAGGCTTCGGATAGTTAATAGGACTGCATTCAGACGCAGGCTTCAGTCTTTTATAATCAGGATCTGTAATGGAAGAACACCCCACTTAATGGTACCTGCTCCTTGTCATGGTGGTGGGGCTCCAGTACCTCGGTGACCCCAAGAGCTACTGGTAGGGCCTCCCTAGCCAGAGTGGTCGAGGGGGAGAGGTCAGACTAAGACAGGTACCCTGGTCCTACAGGTTGGGGGTTGGTCGCAAGGCTAACAACCTTGCACTGTAAAAAGGAAGATGTTTCGAAACCTCGATCAAAGCCTCAGACAGACGGACCGAATGGAAGAGGAGAATTGAGGGGGCCATGGACCGAATACGGACCAGAGAGCCATAGAAGAAGAAGAAGAATGGAATAACACGCAAAATACTTAAGAACACAAACAAATTAGTTTATGTGAAGTAAATGTGAATTTCTGTTCCTGTTACAATTTTTTTCACGTTCCAGTAATATTTCCATTTTACGTGCGACGCCTGACAATTAAGGTCTGTCTCGGTCTTCCCACAGCCCTTCCTCTTCAATTTCTTCCCACATCCCCCCTTCTGTCCTGTGCTTTCATTTTACTTTCGTGCTCAAAACCTTCTTACAAATTCTCTCTTCATTCACTCGTTAAAACATGTCCGTATATCGTATTATTTTATTTGTTAATTTGCCTTCCGAGATGCTCATCTTTAAATTCTCTCCGACTTAGTTTTCCGTACGTACTCGCTTAACATCTGACAGGCCCAGCGAGTCAATAGTGGATTTCAACCTGCTTTCAAGAAACAACCTGGCCTCAGAAACACGCTGTCGAACATTCAAATGTATTTTATATCTAGTCATGTGCTTTATGAAATGGAAACCTGTCTCAAACAGAAGATGTTCATATCCATTGGGACTCCACTACAATAATTAATTATACATAATAAGTAATTAACTTATAACTAAAGGTAGTGGCACTTACCGCCGTGGCTGAGCGTCCACGGTTCCCTTCCCCGGATCAGCATACTAATACCAGAATACAGGAGGCCTCCATAAAGTCCGAGCGGATTGTGGAACGATGGACGGACATTTCTCACGCTCTTCAACTCTGACCAAATCCAACTATTTCTTATTTTGTCCTCGTAAGTTTTTGGCTCTGGTGCTGTCGTCTCGGACTTTGAACTGTCATCGGTAACGGCCTCGAAGGCGCTTTCGGCAGCGAGCATCCCGCTTTTCATCGCGTTGTGGGTTCCCTTAACTTTTGGCACATTGAGGAAACCGGCGCTACAGCCAATTATGCATCCTCCGGGAAAAGTCAGCTTGGGTATCGACTGCAAGCCCCCTTCATTCAGAGCACGGGCGCCATACGCTATCCTGCGTAAATAAACGAGTAACACGTATCTTTCACAATGACAGAATTTAATATAAAACATTTGTCCTCCCTTGTTATCGTGAATTAACTCGGGTTTAAAATTTTGCACTATACGAGTACATAATCATGTACGTAGAATTTGAGGTTTTCATGGCAGTGAGTCCGAAGCCGACCGTCTTCTGGGTTGTGGCACAGCGTAGTCTGGTAGAAGTTTACCGACGTTTCATCAGCTCCATGATGGAGACGGCAAGGACCTCTGAAACGTTGGTAGACTTCAACCAGACTACACAGCGCTACAAAATGTATCCACATACCTCTTCCCTCCCTCAAATACTGGTTTGACTGATGGATGGTGCTTGAATCTCTGGAATTCTCTGAACGGACTTATATAAGGGTTTGAGTAATCCAGCCCTATTGCAAATCCCACGGCTACCATGGGTGTCGGCTCATTCAAGTGGTATAAGAATGACCCTCCATATGTACGGCGATCCTGTAACAGATTTGGAAAATCATTAATATAAATCTGCGAGAGGTAACGAGGCAAAGATGATGGCCGCGTTATAACATAATATACTTTCTCACTGACGACATCCGGAGTTTGTACCTGACGGAAATCTATCCTGAAATTACGAGGTTACAACTCAAAGCCACTAACACAGTGACCGAGATTTTCCCTCCCAAGTTCTTAAATTATTATTATGGAAATACGAGTCTGAGTCCGTGAAATTTCAATTAACCAGAATATCTACATATTCCATATGCCGAACATCTAACACACTGCTCCTCTTAACTTCCTACCCTGCAAAGGGAAGTGACATTGGAGGAAAGAACCTAGGCACAGTCAGGAGAATAATATTAAAATTGATACTAAAAAAATGGGACATGACAATTTAAAGTCAATTCATATGACTCACGGACTTGTTACACGCCGTTATGAACGTGGTAATGAACCATCAAGTTCCATAAAATATCATAAATCTCTTTATTAGCTGAGAAAATATTAGCTTCTGAAGCAAGACTGGCTCCGTGGAGTCAGCAAGGACGATGAGCCTTTACATCACAAATTAAAGATTAAGGATCCAACGTGATGCCGTGGGCATATTTTACGACTCTTTTCGCGCCACAGCCTCGGACACTGTCTTACCAGCGGCCATCCCACAGTGTGTTCGACAGTGCCCGGTTTGTGCTTGCTTGAATCGACTTCCCACACTTCTTTCAGTCCAATACCATACGTCTGTGGTTCGCACTTCTCTCGGAGTTTGAATCTCTGGAACAGCTGCTTTGCTAGGTGACCGTGGCAGCCTTCTGCAAATATTGTACACTTGGCATGCAGCTCCATACCCCTCTCAAAATTACCCTATAAACAAAGCCAACACCACATAAATAATTATAAACATGCTGACTGTGCGAATCTTTGAGGTTATGTTTGACAAATTTAACATAATTGGCTAAAACATTATTATTATCCATCTACACATAACAATTTCACATTGTATCTTCCATTTAATTCACTTCTGTTGACGTGATACAAGATACAAAGTAAAATTATTATGTATAGATGGATAATAATAATAATATTTTTGATGCATCTCACAACATGAAACTCCTGTATAGTCTGGAAGTGGGAATTTGTACTAGCTAAAATTATGTACAGAAACATAACACTAAACTGTATAATTATTAACGGTACTTGTGGGTTATCGGGACACGTAACTTTAAAAATAGGTTAGGTTAGGTACGGGTTAGGTTAGGATTGGGGTTAGGTTAGGTTAGGGTTATTTTAGGTTATGTTAGGTTAAGTTAGGTTAATGTGTGTGGATAAATGACATATACTTGAAAGTTATTATATTTTATTTCAATAAATGACAACTAACCTAATCCATTTTTAAAGCGATGTGTCCCGATAACCCACAAGTACCTTATTAACTTACAATTCTTGCTTAGCCTCAGTATAAAAACAAAAGCATTTCAAGGAAAATAAGCATTATAAGTTCTCCCCAAACTTCTTGAGCATAATTCTCAGATTTTATTTTCCTCCCCATCTGATGCACTATTTTTAAATAAAATAAATAAATTCTGTATGATGTACACTGCATTATTCTCAGGTGAGTCAATTTCCAGTGCTTCCAAGACTGACTATAGTATATTTCTTTACCTTCGGGGACCCGTCCTTGGCAATGCCGACATCATTTGTGGCGACCCCCTTCACACTGCCGTCTTCGTGATACAACACATCTGAAGCCGCATAGCCAGGGTACATCTCTACTCCGAGCGCTTCGGCCTGTTCACCCAGCCACCGCACTACGTGACCAAGCCGAACCACGTAGTTGCCATGGTTCTGTAAAGGGAAACCTGAAAATTAAGAACATTTCTTTACTAGACTTCGTCATTATACGATTACAGAAACTTGTGTTTCTCAGAACATGATAGCATTCATAATTTAAGCAAATACAAGCTCTGGTATGGTAAGAACACAATATTAATCCACCGACTTGATTTAAAAAGAAAAAACTATTTAATTTAGATTAATATAACTCTTTGAGTGCACATCTGAATAAATCTCTTAGGAGTTCAATCCAGCCTGCTTTACAACAACCAGTTTCGACGAGATTTAGTTCAATTTATTACTGTTATTAACAAATATCTAAATATTTTCACATTTTTCAATTATTTGGTACTTGTGTCCTATTGTTAGCATCAAATGCCTGAAACCCAAGAAACAACTCACCTGGGAGAATAGGAACAGGTATCCTTGAGGTCTCTGTAAGGAAACCAAACCTATCCGTTGTGACTGGAGTATTCAGGGGTGCGCCCTTATCCTTCCAGTCTGGAATTAGTTCATTCAGTGCTACTGGGTCTATACAGGCACCAGACAAAATGTGGCCTCCTACAATAACAACAACAAAAGAAACAGGAAATAAGTAAACAGGTAGGAATCTAAAATTACTTATCTATCCACCCAAACATGTTCACATAAATACCAGAAATGAAGGATATAAATATTTGTTACATGACGTTTGACGTTCTCATGGTGGTGGTGGTGGTGCTATTCCTCTGGGTTGAGGTTTCTCCTGAAAGATGGCAGTACAATCCAAGTCTAGTATCTCCTGCCACCTACCCGATAGCTGTCTAACTACCACAACAAGCTGTACTTATTCAAAGACACTTCATTAAGTTAACGCATCTCCTGAAAGATGGTAGCACAATCCACGTCTAGTAGCTCCTGACACCTACCCGGCACCTGACTAACTACCACAAAAAGTTGTACTCATTTAAAGACACTTCCCTAAGTTCACTTCAAAAAAAAAAAAACTTACCTATCTCTGCAGATTTTTCCACAAGGCACACTCTCAATTCCTTGGAATTCTGCTCTGCCAGTTGCTTCAACCGGATGGCTGCTGACATACCGGCTGGGCCACCACCAACGATCAACACATCTGTCTCATCGACATACCTCTCCATGTTCACGTCTAGATATGGCAAGAAAGATAAAAAAAACAAAGATTTCACACAAACTGAATATCAGAATACAAAATATTTACAGTAACCTCCCTCTGACATAACATCAGTGGTTCAGCATAACATTATTTTTCAGAAAAAGTTCATTTTAAGAGACCACATAACTTTTATTTAATACTAGTGAATTAAACAGGTTGTTTGTCACCAAGGCGTCCTCAGGTTGCCACAGATGGAGATTGGATGCAGATATGGAACTTACTGAATACACAGACGTGAATAGCCAAAAATAATTAGTCCTCCAGCTTGTGGATTTGGCAAGGTCTAAAACATCCTGCCCACGAGGAAAGTGATTGTTACAAAATCTGGACTTGGAAGGATTCTGTGGAATGACTTAAGTAACATAAAATTGACATGAGATTTAGAATTAACACTGTCAGGAGTCTCTTGTGAAATGGTAATAAGTGTTTTGGTTCCATAAGGACAGGGAATATCACTGGCTAGCTGACTATCAGCTTCTCATGTACGGCACTGCTCAATGATACGAGTTTGTCAGTGATTAATTTTAATAATATCCTTTAAAATTATAAATAAAGTAATTAACAACTGCAAAAAATACGTACCTTTCCATCTTGAATCCGTTTCCCTTGGAACTACAGTGTAGTGTGTTGTTATTTTGGGGAACAGCTGCTCTGAATAATACCTCTTAGCAAGCCATGACAGCCCCCTCACTAAAATGTTAAACATTCGTATTGTTTTGAGAACAGAAATGGATAGAAATTTATTAAAGGTTTTGGAGAGGTGGCCATATACGTACAAAGTACATTTAGCAAATCAAACTAGTCCAAAGTCCATTTTACTGAACCATAAACAGCATACAATTTTTCTCCAGCATTACAAAACACGTATGAGTTTGCACAACAATAATTATTATCTATACGGCTACGACACTAATTACTTAATATCACGCAGTACGTTTAAAACGTAACACTAAAGTTTAAAAATTTGCTACTGCTACCAATCAGCTGTGAGAATTTTCTTAACCATGTAAATAATACAGGCACACATATTATCAAAGCATTTTACCTTCAAAATATAATGTTTTATATTTGCCTAACGTCCAATAGGGTACAGTGTTATTTATTCATCCGACTTTGACATACAAAGAGCTGTGTATTTAGAAATAACTTACAGAAATTCGAAGACTTGTATAAGACAGCTGCCATGACTATGTAAACAACTACACAAGTCATAGGTACACACATGCGCAATGATACATCGCCTCATCACAACAAACAGCCTACTTTCAATACACAGTAGGCAACAAGTTATCTATGTTTCGAGCGTTCGAAATATTTTTTATGTAACACAGCAGGCGAAACTAAATTAAAATAAATAAAACTTTTCTTAATCTCAGCATTCATTATACTGAAATGTTAAAATGATGATTATTAACTTTCTGTCGTGTCGTACACATTGTTCACTTAGTTCGTACAAATGATATAGATGTCTCGGCCGTATACTCCTGACACGAGGTTAACCGGCAAGAAAGACCAGTCGATATTACAGAAGTCTGTTGCTGCTTGTAGTGACGTGATTCTGAGGATGGCTTCTAACCCTGTTTACGTTTCGTTGTTTTATTTCTTTAGTAATATTGAGCCAATTCTCCTTGAACCCAAAAATAGTGCAAAATGTCAATATTATTAACTATTGGATGTAATTAAAACAGCTCCACATGGTAGAGAAGAAATTTAAATATTTATTTCCTCGCTATTTTGAATACATAATTTATCTGAAAGTTTATTTACTGCAAAACTTTTTAACACTACAGACAAATTTCTACTAAGGGCTGATAAAATGAGTGGTCTGGGGGCCATCAATTTATTAATTTTAAGTTTAAACTCTAAGATACTTTTTCGTTCCTCTATTTTCTCACAAGTACACACATACGTTGATTTCATTGAAATACATTTCTACACAGCTTAAAAATTTATTAAAACTGCGACATTTGGTATAATTCCAGAACTAGTAAAAACATGCGACAGTCGGGAAGCGAGTTTGGCAGACGTTATATTGAGAAGTGATAAATTCTATTGCTGAAAAAGCTAATTAATCTGAAAGATATTTCACTCAACAAATACAAGTGTTCTCCTTTAATAGACTCCATCTACTCTGGTGTATTTCCGTATAAGAAAATTTTCTCCCCTTGAACTAATGGTCATAAATATCATAGATAAATGCAAAATCATACAAATCGTTGGTAATTTGATTAGAAGACGTGTATAAAGTACAATTTAAATACCTGTTGGCTGTGTAGAATCACGTGTTTTTCATATGCAGCGGAGAAATACTGCTGTAATCTTAAGCAAGGAAAACAATTCGAGCAGAGAAGTAGGTCACCTGTCTGAGAGGCCTAACCTAATGCGTGTTTCATATTCAAGGTCTGTTTTGTAAAAATCCCATAGCATATCTTATCTCAGGAATATATATTTTAAAAATACGCCCGCCACACACAACGTATGAGCGGACCGCGGGTAGAGAACCACTAGTATAGATCAGTGGTATTCAAACTTTTTTTGTTCGCGTACCCCCAGATATAATTTCTCTTCAACTTTGTACCCCTCAAAGTTGTTGGTGTATAATTCAAGTTATACATAGTATATAATCTACATCTAAAATAAATTAAATAAATTACATTACTGATTATTCAGTGTTTATCATAAAATAATATATATATTTTTTTGGAATTTCACGTACCCCCTAAGATGTCTTCGCGTACCCCCAGATATAATTTCTCTTCAACTTTGTACCCCTCAAAGTTGTTGGTGTATAATTCAAGTTATACGTAGTATATAATCTACATCTAAAATAACCAACGCTCTAAAATGTTGAAATAAATTCCATCAATAAGACATGCAGTTAGCATAAGTAGGGTTGAACATTTTAATACCAAATCCAGCCATAAAACAAGATCAGTAGCCAGTTCATTCCAGCTCCTATCCTCACAACCTACTCAAGATAGTTATCCCATCTATTTTTTGGTCTTCCAAATGGGTGTTTCTCAACAGTTAATTTATCCTTCAATCTAGGCTCCAATAGTCCAGATTCTAAACCAAATTCAATGGAAATGCGACCGAATGCCACAGCCTGCCTGCATTTAGGAGGTCTCTGGTTCAAATCTAAGCTCTGGAGACTATCAAAACTGAAGGTTTCGTGGTTTTACTAAGCCCCTTCAGGCAAATACTGGGATAGTATCTTGAATTAGACAAGTAAAACTTCATTTAAATTCATTATTCATTAATTATTCTACGTTTCTTGTATCAGCTATTAACACTGTCGTTAAATAAACTGCAGATCAGACAAACAATCAAATTTTGTCGAGAAATTTCTGAACTGAAATATGTGAGCTGGTGAGCTCTTTCAGCGCAAGGAATGCATGCCAAATTCCCCATTCGCCATTCACTTTTCCCTCTTCTGTGAACATGGTGGCATGTTTCGCTTGGCCCCTTGATTTCGATCGCAACATTACGTCATCAGAGATTGGGAACGGAATGTTATGCCAGTCGCCACACAGAAGATGAAACTTGCTTGCATGGATTACGCAACCTCGTGAATGAACCTGCATTTATTGCATAATCTCTTTTACAACATTTAAAATCCCGTGGTAATTAAATGTACCACCTGCTTTAACATTAAATAATTCTGCATTTTGTCTACAGCGCGTGTATGATTCTCAGAATAAACAACGATTATGCATTTAAATACCATTTAGTCTTTGTAATGGCGAGGCGCTGTGTTTTCTTTGCGGTAGGAACTCAATTCTTAAATATTATTTAGACGAGATTCGGCTTTTTCGCACGTGAAATCGAAAATTTCTGGCTTTGCAGAGGGCAGACAGAAAATATGAACAGTTTCAAGAAGGTCCATCCATATCTGGGGACACGAGAGCTGACATCTTCGACAAGGGCTGTACATCGCTCGCTAGGGTTGTGTACTCTTACTGAATAACCGTTTACCTTTGACTTATTCTATTTTTGACATAGTTTATGTAGTATTTTGAACGTCTGGACAATGTTCTCTTGTTATCTGCAGTTCTATTGATATTTGTTCACGCCTTGTACATATCTCGTTGTTCCTATTATTCGCCTTTTTACAGGGCACGCCTGAAAATTCCTTGCATCTGAAAAGCATTTTTAATAACAACTGAAATGAGAGTTGATTCAGAAATGTCAGAAAATTTCATCGGATAATTGTCAGCATGAATGCGTGAAATGAAAAGTTTCTGCTCTGATTTTAACGTCTAATATTTGAAGATTTTTATGACGTTCTGTCATTTTGTTTTAATTGAATGCATGTAACTCCTGTGAACAACAAAATATAATTTCCCTCAAAGTTGTTGGTGTATAATTCAAGTTATACATAGTATATAATCTACATCTAAAATAAATTAAATAAATTACATTACTGATTATTCAGTGTTTATCATAAAATAATATATATATTTTTTTGGAATTTCACGTACCCCCTAAGATGTCTTCGCGTACCCCCAGATATAATTTCTCTTCAACTTTGTACCCCTCAAAGTTGTTGGTGTATAATTCAAGTTATACGTAGTATATAATCTACATCTAAAATAACCAACGCTCTAAAATGTTGAAATAAATTCCATCAATAAGACATGCAGTTAGCATAAGTAGGGTTGAACATTTTAATACCAAATCCAGCCATAAAACAAGATCAGTAGCCAGTTCATTCCAGCTCCTATCCTCACAACCTACTCAAGATAGTTATCCCATCTATTTTTTGGTCTTCCAAATGGGTGTTTCTCAACAGTTAATTTATCCTTCAATCTAGGCTCCAATAGTCCAGATTCTAAACCAAATTCAATGGAAATGCGACCGAATGCCACAGCCTGCCTGCATTTAGGAGGTCTCTGGTTCAAATCTAAGCTCTGGAGACTATCAAAACTGAAGGTTTCGTGGTTTTACTAAGCCCCTTCAGGCAAATACTGGGATAGTATCTTGAATTAGACAAGTAAAACTTCATTTAAATTCATTATTCATTAATTATTCTACGTTTCTTGTATCAGCTATTAACACTGTCGTTAAATAAACTGCAGATCAGACAAACAATCAAATTTTGTCGAGAAATTTCTGAACTGAAATATGTGAGCTGGTGAGCTCTTTCAGCGCAAGGAATGCATGCCAAATTCCCCATTCGCCATTCACTTTTCCCTCTTCTGTGAACATGGTGGCATGTTTCGCTTGGCCCCTTGATTTCGATCGCAACATTACGTCATCAGAGATTGGGAACGGAATGTTATGCCAGTCGCCACACAGAAGATGAAACTTGCTTGCATGGATTACGCAACCTCGTGAATGAACCTGCATTTATTGCATAATCTCTTTTACAACATTTAAAATCCCGTGGTAATTAAATGTACCACCTGCTTTAACATTAAATAATTCTGCATTTTGTCTACAGCGCGTGTATGATTCTCAGAATAAACAACGATTATGCATTTAAATACCATTTAGTCTTTGTAATGGCGAGGCGCTGTGTTTTCTTTGCGGTAGGAACTCAATTCTTAAATATTATTTAGACGAGATTCGGCTTTTTCGCACGTGAAATCGAAAATTTCTGGCTTTGCAGAGGGCAGACAGAAAATATGAACAGTTTCAAGAAGGTCCATCCATATCTGGGGACACGAGAGCTGACATCTTCGACAAGGGCTGTACATCGCTCGCTAGGGTTGTGTACTCTTACTGAATAACCGTTTACCTTTGACTTATTCTATTTTTGACATAGTTTATGTAGTATTTTGAACGTCTGGACAATGTTCTCTTGTTATCTGCAGTTCTATTGATATTTGTTCACGCCTTGTACATATCTCGTTGTTCCTATTATTCGCCTTTTTACAGGGCACGCCTGAAAATTCCTTGCATCTGAAAAGCATTTTTAATAACAACTGAAATGAGAGTTGATTCAGAAATGTCAGAAAATTTCATCGGATAATTGTCAGCATGAATGCGTGAAATGAAAAGTTTCTGCTCTGATTTTAACGTCTAATATTTGAAGATTTTTATGACGTTCTGTCATTTTGTTTTAATTGAATGCATGTAACTCCTGTGAACAACAAAATATAATTTGCTAAACATAATCGCTTTTCCAAAATCACAATAATCTTACCGGAAGACCAGTTTTCTACGTTCTTTAAACCCTTCGTGAGTTTAACACCAAAGCATCTGTCGTAACCCTTTTTAAAATATCAGATGTTCATGCATTCATGTTTCAATGACTTACGACAACATTTTGTGCCTTGCAAGACCCACCATCGTCCACGACGATAGTATCACCGTACAGCTGGAGTTCCCCAGCCGTCTTAATTAAGACTGCCGCAGGCAACAAGGAAGGATGTGGAACAAACTACAAACCACATGCTCGTTTTACAGCGACGAGTGGTCATTCCTGGAAGTAATCTAAGATCTTAGAGGAATAACTGTGACGTACACCCGAGGGATATTCCCAAACCGTGTTGCTGTCCAATGACCCGTCAGAACGGCATTTCCAGAAAACAGGGCCTCTAAATAAACTTTGTTGTTGCAGTGCGCGGTCTTTGAAGCCCAATTTCAAAACTGTGTTCCCACTGAAACATCACATTCTTCCTCAACAACTACCATTATGCCTCATTTCCGTTTTATTTCCCATAATTCAATGCGTTTTACGTAAAATATGACGCCAGAAGAACAGATTAAATTAGGAGAATGTAATTTACAAGCGTCTGCCTATTAAAACAACAACAAAAACAAAACTACATAAAACAAAGATTTCACATTCGTATTTGTTTAATTTTAGTATTTTAGCGGGGGGAGAAACAGAGAGACTGAACGTGGTTTTACATAGCAATGACTACCCTACTGGATTTTCTCAATATTAGTGCTACTGAGACCTGTTACGGATAAAACAGAGCAAAGTCCTTCCATTGCTTTAAAATTCTTCCTAAACTTCATTTTTTTATTCATATTTTAATTTGTCAGAGATCATTGGAGTTCTTTTCATTTCGTTCTTTATCTTTATACAATGTCTGTCAAGCAAGTACCTAACAAATGTACGAACACCAATGTTACCTTGAAAATGTGACTTAACCGTCCTTAATATTTGGACAAAATCATTTTTTATATTCTTTATGTGTTTCATAAGATTCTCACTATAAACCGCGAACATTTCCTTAAACAGCCTTAACCAGTCGATCTTTGTAATGGTGAAGAGTTGTGAGCTTCGACTTCAGAGAGTTAAAGCACATTTTAGTATCCATTATTTCGACATATAACACATTTGAAATTCACCGGGGCTCGCGTGCCTTTAATTTTACAATTCTACATAAAAATTTATCCACGCTGTAAATAAAACTTCTTCAGAACATGAAAATAATTTCAGGAACAGTCCGTGGGTCCTGAATTAGCAGTAACGACTCTCGGTTATTTTAAAGGTGACGAAATTAACCTAGAATTTTAACAGATGCAATCTACCGTACAGTAGCGCTGTAGGTGTGGATTCTACTGAAGCTGGTACTTCCCTACAACGCGCAAAGGCCACGTGCCAACTAGTTTCCTGGACTGTCGCACTGCCGCGCTCCTGGCGTCTGACGTGTGCAAGCCCGAGGCAAGTCGATAAAACTGCCGGCGATAGCCTGAGTTGAGTCAGTCTGTGAAAGCAGTTTGAAGTCGAAAGGTAATTGTTGGAGTTTCTTATTTGTGCTGATATTGTAGTGGAAGTCAAGAGAGTGTTCTTGGCAACAGTTATTCTACCACCTTCAAAGCAGACGGTGAGAGGCAACCAAGTAGTGTCGTGACCGGATAACAGGAAATGAACATTCTAAGTCTGTAACGAGTATCATCAATCAAGAAAATGCCTGCAGACATAGCCGTTGCTGGTTGTAGCACTTACCTTCAAGATCCTTCAACTGACAGCTCATACTGGAACCCAGAGACCATGAGCGGAAGTATGACCCTCGTTGGACCTGGGAAGCATTGTCAGTCGGTACAGGTGAAAGTGTACAGGACGTCGTTGGAACACTTTGCCGTACTGTACCCACAGAAGAAGGTCTGTAGACCTCTGGGAGTTCTCAACCTGAGGAACACGTGCGTCGAGAGGCTACCCGTAGGAAAACAGTCCGGTTTCATGGTACGACAGCGCGGTTTTGACACGCCAATGTGTCTCACCTTCCTCAGCGAATCGCCCCGTGACCTGGACTCTTGGGTGGTGGCTTTCACATCCAGGAATTCGCCGACAGTCCACCAGTCTTCTCTACCTATTGTTGAAGAAGACGAGGAAGTCTAAGAATTGAACTCTTGAGGGGGTAAATTGAATCCCTTATCGTCATTCTAATCGTCGAAGTGCAGAAGTATTTTCATCATCAGATCATCGCATGGTACACCGAGGTTGCCACCGCCAACATCATCATCGCTGTACGCCTCAGTAAGATTGATTTCTAACGTGTGGAAAATCCACACCATTTTCCTTGACACTAATGTTTCTGTGTACAATAGGCCACTACGTTGTCTCCTTCTTCCATAAACACCCTGTATATTCTAAATCCTCTCGTGGCTTGCGTGTATCCACAGCGATGGAATCAATATAGCAAGTTTCCATTGGATGAACACTTTGTGACGTGGGGAGCAAAAGTTTAAGATGGCTGGGACGCGCAAACAGAACGCAGGTCTTGAAGGAGATTTTTTTGAAGTGACTTGAATCTCTCTTACGAACAATGAAAGTCAGAACGCAGGTCTTGAAGGAGATTTTTCTGAAGTGACTTCAATCTCTCTTACGAACAATGAAAGTATAAAAAAGGAACAGTTTACCCCCCACCTGTGTGAGGACATTTTAATGATTTAGATGTTATTGTCAGTGCAATATTATAATTAGAATGAACGAAAGAATGAATGATTATGTGTGCATGTATGTGGAAAAGTTATTGAGTGATCTTTATTTTTTATATATGGGCAAGTTACCTTATATTTATTAATAAAGATACAAAAGAAACTAAATGTAAAATCGGACTATGTCGCAGTAAACGTTTTATGACTGATTTTACGAAAGTTTCAGTTGTTTTAAAAAAAAAATTAGCTACGTAACCAAAGTTGAAGAAGGGGAGGTATTATATTTGAGTTTTTTCACAGCCGACGAGAGCACGACTTGAGATGGGTGCAACTGAGAAAAATGGATGTTATTTTTTTGTTTTTATGACCTATGTCATGCCCACATATGGCAGTTGATTTTTAATGTAATATTCCCCAGTCTGTTAAGGGAACACGTATAATTGCGAGTGCTGTGTGTTTGATTTGCACAACACGGGGCCAGAGTTATATTCCTTTACAACAGAACTGCACATATATTTAAGTTTTGATTTTTTTTTTACATAGTGATATAATTTACTTTTTATATACGTAATTCTTGGTGTTTTATATCACGAACAAAGTAGGCAGATGAGAAAACCGATTTTGAGTTAAATTTTAATATCATTATGATACGATACGATACGTTACGTTTATATTTTAGAATACAATATTTATTTGCATAACTGAAAACATTTCACGGAAATTATTTATTGAGAACTATGTTATTGTGTTTTCTATTGTGATATTTTATTCGTGTGCTATCCAAATGGAACTAGCTGCTTTTGTGTAACAATATCAATCTTTAGATTCATGCATTGTAAAACAAACGACTATCAGTTACCAATATATGTTTGCCAAAAGGTAAATTGCACAGTAAATGTAATTTTGAAGTTATATTAATACATTGTTATTTGAGTACTGTCACAGATACAAACTTTAACTCTAATTAGACGTCTGGTTTCAGCAACACAACAATGGTTCTGATTTTTAAAATGCCACGAATCTCAGGAGAAACTGCAGCATTACATATAATAAATTCTGAAGTGTGATTATGATGTATATGGTCGTATGTTCAACGTAACAATGTCTATATAAAAAAAAAACCGAATGTATAGTCGTATACAGGTGAATACTTGTCTGTGGTAGAAAATGTCCCTGTCGTATACCTAATGTTTTCCATATTAATAAACTTTTAAAATATTGTACTCGATTGCTTTGTTATTTCGATAAATGCAACCATGGTCCTGTAATCCTGAATTCAATTTTCAAACTTGGGTCTAAGGTAAACGTAACTTGAGTTTATGTAGGAGCATGAAGTATTTATACGTAAGAATACAATTTAAAATCCATCGTAATTTTACTCAGTTTCATGGACAAATTAAAACATTAATTAAATTCTAAAATTCTGTTATTTTAAAAACCACGACGTTATAATTGTACGATTTATATTATCCAGTGACAGACTAGCTCTATCTAAGGGACCCAACAGAGTAGGTACTTCTCACCTGAAGACGGAGACAGAACCAGCCTCCGAAACGTGGATTGAAAAAGTCCTGACAATGAATAATTTTAAATAAAACATTAATACAGACATTGTTCACGCAATTGTGCTATTACAACTGGAAAGATTAAAAGAATATTCCCTTATTTGTTCCCATGTAGCAGATACTGGCGAGACAAAGACACGTTGTCGTAGCAAAGAAATCGATATGTGATCGATTAATCGCGATCAGACGTTTTTGAAATCTGATTACGTTTACAGGAAGATGTTCAATATGGCGGTAATGTAAGTTATCGGTACTCCAGAGATACGTGCATCCCACGTACATTTAGTGTCACTGGGATTAAAAATAGTTACTGTTATCAGAAAAAAACTTGTTAATGTCGTCGGTATCTGGCGGTAGATATCGGCGTTAGAAACTGTTCAGCTCAATAAAGAACGTTAACTATTCATAAACGCTTGGAAGAAGGTTGAATCTTTCACTGATGATTGATTTTGTTAAATATAATTAGTAATTTGGGCACGTCTTTACGAAACTATACATGATTCAGCAGCAACTTTAATAAATTGTCCTCGTTTGTATACTTAATATACTTATAGTTAATAAAGGTGAAAGTGTGGCCACAGATGGGGAAAAAATCTGAGAACCCCTGAAGCAGACAATTGGAGAAGAGAATTTTTAGCTGCTGTGGACTGCGGTTAGACACGTCTATCAATTTATTCCGAACAACAGAAGAACAGAGTTGGAGAATTTGCATCTGAAATTATGTATCCATCACGACATGAAGTCTGCAACAGTGTTTCTCAACCTGGCACCGCAGACCCCCTCCTCAAAATGATCTCATACATTTTGATTGATAAGAATACACACTAACTAAAATACGGATAGAAGGTGTCGTTTCCACGTCAAATCTTACTCACGACATGAAGTTTATTTAGTGTTCTGTCTGACGACAGGTCCATATGAACAGGATCCTTCCATCCTTTTCTCGGACTGGGACCTGTTCATATACGTTCTTGGCAGATGATCCAGAAGTGGTTTGCCATTGCCTTCTTCTGTGTGTGAATGGAGTAATTGTTGGGATGCCACGGAGGAAAACTCCGTGTTGCCTAGACCACGGCCTTGCCCAACACAAGTTATAAATTCGGGCACCGCCGGGAATCGAACCCTAGACCCCCAGGATTACAAGGCCAGCGTTCTAACACGTATAGAACATAAAAAATAATGAGTAGAATCTACTCAACACCCGGATCCCTTAAGCACAATTTGCGGACCCCCGGTTGAGAAACACTGGTCTACAAAATGGCGTACGTTCGACGTTGCAGAAACAAGACCAGTTTTGGACAACAAGAAATAACACGATTCTGTACAACAGTTATCTAACCAAAGGTTGGAAAACACTGCTATGATGACGTCAATACAAACAGCAGGGGCCCAATTAGATTATCTTGTGTACAACTCTTAAATTCAAGATCTACAAGCCGATAAACATCAAAAGGAAAGCTGATTTATGAAAGCACATACACTTTCGTTACGGTTCAAGCAGGCAGAACAAAGCGGCCTGTTTCTTATTGGGGACGTCCCAGGTTCAAATACCAGCTATCACACCGAACGTCTTCAAGATCCATTTTAATATTATCCTGTCCTTCAGGCCACGTTCTTCCGGGTTGTCTCTTTCCTTCAGGTTTTCCGACCAATACGCCGTGTGCATTTTTCATCATTGCTACATGCCTCGCTTAGGTGATCAAAGTAAATGTTTGGTACATAGATTAACCTTCACTGTCCAAATATTTCCAGCATCCTCCTACGTTACTCCCCTAGGGTCTAAACATTCTAAACCCTTTATCAATCACCCTCAACCGATATTCTCCCCTCTAATAAACAGGGTGGGAGGATTCTGTTTCCATAAAACAGTGAGAATTTATTGACAACATTAGCAACTGTAAGCTTTTCAAGAAAGACTTAATTGCGTACAGTCATTCAAATAATTACGAGGGAAAAAAAACCTTTCTGTAAGAGACCCCCCATAACCAACCATTAAACAATTAATTGGAAACTTCTCTAAGAGATTCATTCATGCGTTTAAGTAGAGGACTTTTTTTTGTGTGTTCGCAATTGGAAAAAAAACAGCTGAAGGGAGTGAAATATCTTTAGAAAGCCAGAGAATCCTTTAGATGTGGGTCCATTTCCCTTCTCACACTCAAGCATTTAATTTATTTTCTGTTACTTTTTCAAATGCATCATCATAATCATCATCACGCAACTTTGCCTTCTGATAAATAAATCTTCGTCACAAACAATCTCCAAGTATATTACAATGATCTAATTAAATAGTATGATATGGGCTAAGCATGTAGCACGCATGCAGAAACCTGGTTGGAAAACCTGAAGGGGAGACCTAGATGTAGAAGGGAGTACACTATTAAAATGGATCTTAAGGAAATAGGGTGGGAGAGTGCGGATTGAATTAATCTGGCTCAGGCTGAGACTCTTGTAAACACGGTAATAAATGTTTGGTTTCCATAAATAGAGAGACATTTTTAATAGCTTAGCGACTATAAGCTTCTCAAGAAGGACTGTACTCTATGAAGTTGTTTCATGACGGAGGCCATGGTGGGTTTTACCTTCACTGTCAATTCATAACAAATGAGAAAACAAAGTTAATTATAATGAAAGTCCTTCAAAAAATCTCAAACCTGCTTAAGATAATTGTATCAATTATACATTGAAAATAAAAATGGTAGAGAAAAATTGCGATACGATGAGAAATTATTGGGTTTCACGACACTGCTCCAACTTCAGAAATTCATAATGAGTTATGAATTGGAGTGCGTCCTGGCTGGATTTTGGTAGGCTACTTCTTCGACATTCACCTGAATGTACTAAGTAAAACCATGAAAATCCTCAGTAGGGATAGCCGGTAAACTTGCCGGGATTCGAATCGGGCACCTCCCGAATACAAGTCCATTTCAGTTCAATGGGCTTCTGATCCGGGGACATCGACAGTGATAAGCTGCAGGCAGATTAAGGGCAGGAAATATCAACGCGAACTGCCACATCCAGGAACAAAATCCACAACTCTTCCTCGGTTTAAAACAGGAAAAAGGGGGATTAATCCCACGGGTTTATTTCTGTTTTATATCAGTCCAGCAGGGGTGATTAGAACGGGGTTGATGTACTGTGTGCGGCAGATCAATATGCTGTCGGCTGAGAAGCCCTTTGTATCAGGACAAGGGGTGTACAAAAACTTCATGCCAAATGTTCACAACTTTCTCAATATTATGATCACGACGAAGCTAGTCGAGTTGTGATATTGTAAATTACATATTTTAACTCATATACCATAGGGCAGGGTGGTCCTACTTATTTCTTCATTCGGGCCAAAAACCAGTTGGACGACAAACGTCTCCTGACACTATTTTTGAAAACTAATAACCAATTTTCGTCATATTTAACAACACTAATTCAAAAATCTGTCTTTAATTACAGCGATGAGCGATTTATCTCCTTGATGAAGGCAGTAATGACCTTTGAAACGTCGGCAGACTTCTATAAGATAACAAGACACAACAACCCATAAAAAAGTCACCCAGAACTTCTATGGTGTCTCAACAAATTGTAGCCCCGGTATCGAAAACGAAAAAAACTGAAAGTGGTCTCAAATGTGGAAATTGTAAATACAACTGAAATTTCCTCAGTGAACTATGACTCAGTGTAAGTAGACTTGTACTTCCTAACGTTAGCTGTTCTCATCATTTGAATACTGAAAAGACGTTCAACTGCAACGGAACAAAAGAATCCACCGGTCAGTGGCACGCGTTGGATTTCAGAAGAAACGTCATTTTGCCTTGAACACGGACAAGAGGAGTCCTTTCCCCCCTTAAATGACAGTACGAACGACTCCTTGAAGAAAACTTTTTACCACGAACATATCTGAAGCAATTTCCCGCACGCGATCCTTAAAAGTAGGAAGGAAAGTTGTTATTTATACCCGCCCCATTAATTTAACCATAATTAAGGATCCGTGTCCTCATTCTCCTATCCACTACTTGGCCCCACTAATTGGTCATATTATGAAAAGGATGTGTTCTTAAAAAATTTTGTTGTCTTTTTCAAGCACAGTGGTCATTTATACGTACCACCTGCTGTAACACTCAGCACCCCTGTGTTTTACTCGTAGAGTATATTTATAGGTATTTTAGTGATTCTTAGAAATAACAGCATTAACCACTTGATCTCCGAAATGGTGACGCGCTGTGTTTTCTTTGAAGTACGAACTGAATCCATAAATGCCATTTAGACAAACTTATTCGGAAGGTCCTGCGACCGGCCATCTTGATACAGGTTTGCTTGGTTTTCCTCTGTCTTTAATCAAATGCTGAGATGGTACAGTTGCTACTGTAAGGTTCTGTTGAAGCCTTCCCGAATTAAATTCATCAGAATTTACCCTCTTACTAAGGAGGCCATTAAATTATTATTATTATTATTTAGTGTTCTGTCTGACGACAGCACAAGTTATAAATTCGGGCACCGCCGGGAATTGAACCCAAGGCCAGCGTTCTAACCTCTAGACCACCGTGGCTACAGCCATTAAATTACGAACTTAAATGTCTAAATTATAGCTTCACAATTCACTAACGAGCAAATCAACTCACTAATTATCACCCTAACGTATTGGCTCTTACGTTATCCTTATCGGAAGG